CGCATTTACAGATTGGGGCCGGCGGCGGATGGCGGATGACAGACGGGCGGGGAGGACTTGCGGAGGGATGGGGTGGGCGGCAGGACGCCGTTGGTGGTGTGTGTGTGTGTGTTGGGGGCGGTGGGCGCCGGTTGCTCCTTCTATTTGTTTGCGATTGCGCCCGCCCGCTTTCTCGCACACGCACGCGCGCTCTCTTTCCCCCCCTCCCCCTTCCGCTCCCCCGCGCCGTGCCGCCGGTGGTCCTGCGGGCTTTCGCCACTTGAACGAGTGCGCTGTTGCCGCCACCGTCTTCGGGCGGCGCCCTTCTTCTTTACTGCCCCCTCCGACGGGGCGGGACGCGATGTGGTGTAGGGGAGTCGCGAGTCGCCGGGCGCGCCCGGTCCGTTTTTTTTTTCTCTTCGTTGTCCCCGTGCCCGCCTCCTCCTCTGTGCCTGCGTGCGCCGCATACCGTTGTCTCCCCATCTCCCCCTTTGTTTGTTTGCCCCTCCCCCGCCTGGCGCGCCCGGCAGTCCGTTCTAGCTAGGCTTTCGAGCTCTTCTTCAAACACCCAGTTAACTCTCCTTCTTCCCAACATGCGTGAGGCGATTTGCATCCACATTGGCCAGGCCGGTTGCCAGGTCGGCAATGCGTGCTGGGAGCTGTTCTGCCTGGAGCACGGCATCCAGCCCGACGGCGCGATGCCCTCCGACAAGACGATCGGCGTGGAGGACGACGCGTTCAACACGTTCTTCTCGGAGACCGGCGCGGGCAAGCACGTGCCGCGTGCGGTGTTCCTCGACCTGGAGCCGACGGTGGTGGACGAGATCCGCACCGGCACGTACCGCCAGCTGTTCCACCCCGAGCAGCTGATCTCCGGCAAGGAGGATGCGGCCAACAACTACGCTCGCGGCCACTACACGATCGGCAAGGAGATCGTGGACCTGTGCCTGGACCGCATCCGCAAGCTCGCGGACAACTGCACGGGTCTGCAGGGCTTCCTCGTGTACCACGCCGTGGGCGGTGGCACGGGCTCCGGCCTCGGTGCGCTGCTGCTGGAGCGCCTCTCCGTGGACTACGGCAAGAAGTCCAAGCTGGGCTACACGGTGTACCCGTCGCCGCAGGTCTCGACGGCCGTGGTGGAGCCCTACAACTCGGTGCTCTCGACGCACTCGCTGCTTGAGCACACCGATGTCGCGGCGATGCTTGACAATGAGGCAATTTACGATTTAACCCGACCTCTGGCGCAGCCGGCCACCTCAACGTGGTGCCAGAGTCTAGTACTCTCTATTAGGGAGGAAGCTAAGCGCCTGCTACTCGCCTGTCTTGTGCGGGCGCGTAGCAGACGCATAGCTGGAGGGCCGGAAGGGCACGAGATGGAGCCCTGTGTGGGGCTGCCCGAGGAGCGGAGTTTTTTCCCGCTGCCCACTTCCATCGGCGCTTGCCAGCGCTGTGTTTGTCGTCTGCGAACTGTATGCGACGCGCAACGACAAAAATTACTGCTAAGTGGGGATGTTGAGCAGAACCCCGGCCCCTTAGCAGTACTCCAAATGAACGTCTCCGCCCTCTCGCAAGTGAAACTCGCCACTCTGATGGCGTACGGCGCGGACATCATAGCCGTCCAGGAGACCTGGAGGTCGCCGGAGCAGCTTGCCACGTACAACACTGGCGAGTACGT